GTATTTTTACAGTCTTTATTTTACAATTAAAATAAATGCTTATCAAATAAAGTTTAATGTTACAACTAATTGTGGATCCCTTTAAGTATTTTTTTTATTACTCCATTTATATAATTCTGATTTTATTTCTAATTATGTCTATATTTGACCTTTGGGATTTAATAAAATCCAAATCCTGGAGCATTTTGTATCCCGAAGTCCATGTTTGCCTTGAAGACACTGTATGAATTCAAAAGTGGCAACTTGAGTGTATTTGCACAGGTGCTTGCAACTGGAAAAGGTGAATCGCTTAAAAACTCAATGCGTGGAGGTGGAATCATGCCTGCTGGTGGAAGTGCTGCCAGACCTGTAGCAAACATCAATAAATCTTCCAGTGAGACAGCCGTCACTTTTCCTGAAAGAAGAAAATCAACATTGTAGTTATTGGACTCTGCATTAAGGGAAATTAACTTTTATCTGCTTTCAATTCTTTAAAACTAAAAATTAAAATTTCATTGCACAACTAATTTTTGAACAACAATAACATCTGTCCATACAAACCTTCAGAATCAAGTAGGTNTGCTCCCAAAAGTAAATTACCATCATCATTTAATTTAATTTGTGGTTAAAAATAGTCATTTCAACTGTCCAGAGGTTGAAATGACCATTTTTAACCACAAATTAAATTAAATGATGATGGTTAAAAATAGTCATTTCAACTGTCCAGAGGTTATACCAACATATTTTAGAATATTTCTGATGAAAAGTAAGAAGCATTTTTTATGCTTTAAAAATGGCTGGAAATTGAAGAGGTGACATAATTCTTTAAACACTGTAAACTGAAAAGGAACAAAGCCACTTTGAATCTAATGTATCCCTAGGTCCCAGTTTTGGATGGACTTGTTTGGGGACCTAAGAGACTCCGGAAACTTCAACGGAAGCCATGAACATCAGTGCTTGCTGAGATTCTGCTTCATCTGTGTTCTGCAAAAAGATCTGGATGAATGCAAAGACCTCTGGAACAAACACAGGATCCGGCCAAGCCGACTTGCATCATGTCCTGGCGGGATTCCAAATGAACTATATCTTTTGCCTCACAGGTAATTCATATTTTGATAGAATTAAATAACCTTTTTGCATTTAATAATAATGCTATGTAATGTTATTGCATAAGTTGTATGAATAGATGAAATACATCTGTTAATTTATAAGCTGTCATTTAATGCTCATGTACAGATTTATAGTTAGTATACAAATCAGATATTTTAATTTGTAATAAATGTTAAATAAAAATCTTCATATTTCTGTTCTCAATTCTATTATTTTGCAGATATGGTTCAAGGGACTGTGGATTTGCTGTTGAAGAGAGACAACTTGATGTGTTCCCTGAAGCAAGACAAGCTGCTGAACTGTGTGGTGATCCAAACATTGAGGAGTACCTACAGCAGGCTGTTCAACAAAATGGACTACAGCAGCCAAATGACTGGGAATCAGCATCTGAACTGTATTTAACTCTCAAGAACATAGCCAACTTTTAGACACAAATTAATTCAACCAGTTTGTAATCTTGTTTCCTGTTCCACTTGGTAAATTGAACTGATGTTGATTATATTCATCACTACATACACAGCGACATATATTGATTTAAACATTTTTTATTGAACCCTGTATTCAGTTTGAACTCATTAGAAAAACATGACATTTTACATTTTCAATAAAACACACAAAAAAAAGGTGTACATCATTTTATAAACATAAATGTTTCAGATATGTGAAGTTGTTTAACTCAATGTGTTTTACAAGTGGGTTTACAGCAGGAACATGCCAACACATTGCAACTACATTAGATGTCAGTAACAGACATTTTATGGATGACCAAAACTTAGATAATTAGAAATAAAAACAAATATATCAATGTACCAAGAAAATAAATACACTTAAAATATTCAAAATTTAAAAAGGGACTTTACCTAATGTTTTATAATTTATTTGACCTTCATTCATTTTTCCAGTTTAGTTCCAATAAATTATATATTCTAGCACACAATTAACATTTAATTTTAAATATATATATATTGTTGGTTTTTCATGTTGTACATGTCTGCTAAATGTAACTTGTTGTTTTTCTTTCCATATGCTTTTACTTTATCTTTTACATTTCTGCCTCATTGAGCAACTAAGGTGTGCAGTCCTTAGGTCAGCTCCTCTCCTATTGGTTTACAAACATGAAAAAGCAGGAACCATGTGTAGATCTATTTTGCATGCTTCTGCTGTCTCAGTTTAGCATAAGTTTAGTTTAAGACAAAGACAGAAGTGTTTTCTTCATTGCCTTTGTTTTAAAC